TTTATTCTTGTGATATTTTCCTTTCCCATTTCTTTGTTTTCTTCTGAGCGAGATGTACGTGAAACACTACACTTCATTTCCTTGTTCCTAGTAGACGCTCGTCACCCCCTAGGATTCTTTAGCCCGGGCTACCGGAAGGTTGTTGGTGCGGTTCAGTGCAGTGCAGGTTGAGATGAAGATGGTGCGATGATGAAAGGGAAAGAGACAAAAAGTGACGGATCAAAAGAAAAAAAATTCATAAACAAAGCGTCAACATCAACGCAAATTTTTGTATTTTAAATTTTTTTTCCTATCTTCCTGGACGCACCAATATCGATACCCTTGTAGCTTTATTGTTCCCTGGTGTTTAGTATTTTCTCATCTACTTGTAGCATCTATCTTAGGAGATTAGTTTGAACGTTTCAAATTTACATAGAAATTATAGATATTGTCAAGTCAGAGTAGAGAATGGAAGAATTAATTCAATATCAACATGGACAACTCCCTTGATGGTATTAACAGGAGGGAAAAATGCATCAGTCATGAACAAGCACAACCATCGTAACCCGTGAACTAAGAAGTATATAAAACTAGAGACCCCAGACCTCGGATATGATCATATCCAGCACAACGCAAATGCGCCTTATCCGAATTTTTTCTTTAAATAACCAGCCGTCCAGCCGGCAACTTACTGTACGCCTGTCAGGGGAAACAAAACACGCATGATCTGATCATCGGTGTACATTCTTTCCAAGCCGAGACCAGTAAAGAGTTGATAGACAAACTGTGCCTCCCGATTCGCCTTGTATGAAACCAAAAACCGAAGAGAAAAAGGAAATATAAAGTATGAAAAGACAAATATCTCACAAATACATGTCGTCGGATAATGTTGATCCCAAAATAAAAGTAGATGGTACATATACCAGAGCGAATGTGACTCAATTTTGCGAGTATAGTTCCCAGATCCTTTGCTTGTCATGACGTCAGTTACAGTGTTGTATCATAGATATGGGTATCAAAAATCTGCAGCACACGATTGCGCATTATAGTCAGATGGCGAGGATTATTATTTGACGCGACCCATGATATCCTCCACGTCCTTTTGGTTCACAACTACACCGCCCTCCGAACAGCGGGCCTTCGTACGCAGTTCGGAACAAAGGTTGTCAACGTCAATTTCGCCATTGCGGAACTTCTCCATAGACTGCAAGCGATCCCTATGGCAGATAAAGTCAGTATGCCATTGATAATCTATGAACCCACATTCAGGCCGGACATACCAAATCTTAGTGCACGACAACATCTGTGATTTGTCCTCCCCAGGCACCACCTCCTCATCCATCTTGTGGTCAATTTCAGCAATCAAATCTTTCTTCGGTGGCTGCTGGTTAGCCAGCTCATTGAAATTGTGAGATGGACTTCCCAGATCCGGCAAGGGGAAGGCATCGTCAAAGAAGGTACCGAAGTCCTGCGACAAAATTGCATCTTGGGGTTCACGCCAGTCTCCGAACAGCACTGGATCAAACTGACCCCCATTCTGCTGCGCCAGGAGGTCAAGTCCAGGTCCGGACGTTTGTTCGTAGTTGCTGTTGGGTTGGTTGGGGGTATTCGACACGCTCTCGCTTTTGCCTCTCACAGCTGGAACAGGGTTATTGATATTGCCGCACGCCATGCCGAGTTGAGCGCAGAAGGAGGCCTCACCATCAATGGTGCTATAGGTACAAGCATGATGATTTTGAACACTGTCATTAAGCTTTGTGGCAGGTGAATTTGATGTCGGCTCCGGCGATGTGCCATTCGAAGACAGTATCTGACTCTGGTGCGAGTCCGACGAGGACGACGGAGAACAAGAATTGGACGAATCATGTGACGATGCGGACTGTCTGATGTTGTACACCGATGGAACCTTAGGAGAGGGATTGTTGGAGACTCCGTTGGCGGCTTTGGCAGTTGACATTCCCCGGTTGTTTGATCCGTTGAGTGATTCCCGAGTCATAACACCTGGAACTTGGGAGTCGCTTGTCGCCGGAGAAGAACCATCCCTAGACTTGTTTTGATTTGACTTGGTCAATGGGCCATTAAAGATGTGTCCTCCGGGAAGGTCTCCGAATTTGGGGAAGTCAAACATAAAATCGTTGTTATTGAGGCCGTACAAATTCCGGGAATGAGCGCTCGGGATAGCGCTCATTGCAGAGATTCCACTGCCGGTAGTCAGCCATGAGAGACGCTTGCGGTACTCCCTGAGCTCCACCTGCAAACGCTCGACCTGAGCGCGCAGTAGTCCGTTCTCCTGGTTTGCATCGTCAGAGGCCTTCTGCAACTCATCCACTTTGGTCTCCAAGTCCTTCAAATGCCTCTCCTTGCGCTCACGGAATGCCCGCTGCGCTGCACGATTTTGCGCCTTGCGCTTCTAGAGAGCACGTTAGTAACACAAACCCCGATCAATCTACTCCACAGATTTCAATGCATACCGAAGTAGGCTCCGAAGTCAACGGCTTTCTACCTGGTTTTTTTGCTGCTTTGTCATCGCTTTCTCTGCGCTTCTTTCCCGACTCTTCGTTTTCGTTGTCCGACATATCCTTCCGTTTTTCGCCTACCTCATGTTCTTCAGACGGGAGACTTCCCGGCAGGTCACCAATTAGATTATCGGAGCCTGGAAAATCGAAGTCAAGCTCCGGATTGAAGTCTAAGAAAGGACTCTCATCATCTCCGTAACCCAGTCCACCAGAGCCAGGATGCGTCTTATTGAATCCTGGCGACATGGTAAAGCTGCCGGACGACATGTTCCCAGGAGTACTGTCTGGGTCTGTCTTCGCTTGGGATCTTTGCTTATCGTTCTGTTGTTGTTGAGGGGGTTGATTGGAGGAAAGCGCGGCAAGAAGAAGGTCTTGTTGATCGGGGGAGAGATAGAGACCTTGATGATAGAGAGTATTGAAATCGGCCATCGCGATTATCGTATCTTTCGAAGCAGAATAGATATGCGAAAATATACAGATGCCGGGGCCACTCGTATGCTGAGCTAAGACCTGCAATCAAACCCGAATCAAAACACTCGACTAGGCTGTTTGGACCGTTGTGATAGCAAGGCCGGGCTTCCCGCCCGTTCGTTCTATCGTATAAAGTCACCAGTAATGAGAAGATATCTGTGTGATGAATGATTCAAGATGAATAATCAAAGCGACAGTGATTGAAGAGACGTAGCGTCGAGAATTGGCGTTACAGCGATGGTGAGGAGAACGCGGCAAGTTTGCAAGGGTTCGGGGATATATCAACTGAGAGATACTTCCGACTACAATTTGAAATCGAAAGCAACTGGCTGAGATCCGGCAAAGGAAAGTGCAAGTGACTGGTGGGAAAAAAAAATTGGCGTAGTCGGAAGAGGTGTATACAGACACCGGGAAAGCAGCAGGATGGTCCGACAGTGGCTAAACCGCGATGCACAATAACTAGGAGCCCCAAGACACGTAGAGATGATCAAACAGAGGGTGAGGTGAAGAAAGATGCAGGTTGATCCAAAGGTAGGTTCAGGGCAAGGTGTGTGAAAGGAGGGGCTCGGAGGGAGGCGAATGAGGCTAGAAACGGAGCAGTAGGCGGAGCAGAAGTCTTGAGAATGAATCGAAATACGTCAGATCAATTGGTGCCTACTTCAGGTGGACAGGGAACCAATGGACGGGGGGGAAGCGAATGCTAGAGAAAAGACCAGGGAGGATGAAGAAAGAAGAGGACGAGTTGGCGTAAGAGGGGAAGAGATGAGCCGATGCATTGCAGTCATTCGATACGGTACAGCGATGACTAGCCTGAGGTACCACTCTTTTGGTCGCCGAAAGAGCGGCAGCCCCTTTAGCGTATGGTTATTGGTTGCCTAACCCCAGGGTTACTGATCGAAGCCAATCAGGGCGGCAGATCGTGGGCGCTAGTTCGGAACCAGAAAATCCCAGTTGCTGCTTAGAAATCAGGCCAGACCCTCTTTTTTCTTTTCGCCTTTTCTGCCACTTTCCATTCCCTCGTGTTTAAAGCCGTTTGGTTCCCGCCACTCAGCAGATCCCATCCCGAACGTCTTCTCCACATCGTGGCTTTACTATCGGATGTCTCGGTCGACTGATAAGATGGGCTCTTCTTGTTTTGTGGAGATATTATCCTCTTTTCTTTCTTTCCCCTTCGTGCTATGGCTCCTTGTCCAGCTTTCTTCCTGTTTTACCATCTCATTTGTCTTGTATGTTTTTCCACATATAAACAGTCCAGCAATGTCTGCGATTTTCCTCCTGGATAGAAGTCAGTGTGAAACATCCGTCCTTATCGCCAAATCCTCGCAGATGGGTCCAACTTGATCTACCAATTGGACCAAATCTCCTCCGAGTTCGGGTCTTGCGTGACTCATAAACAGTTTATTTTATGTAGATCGACAAAATGGGGAAATTTCAAAGAACACATTCCCTGTAAATCCAACATCTGCTACCATTCTTGGGCAATCGCTGCAATGATTTTGATAGGTGAAACACGGTAAGGACCTGGATCTTCTCAAGGTGCGCCACAAGTAACCCGTGAGCAACAGTGGCAACAGTATTTGACTCTGTTCCACAAGATGAATCTCCGTTAATCGGTCAATTCCTTGGAATCTCCGGGGTGACGTGATATTCAATTTCAACCCATCACTGTAAGATCGTCATCAGTTCCCCAATTGCCTTCTAACTATAATAAGTGTAGTTGGTAGATTCTTAAAGAAATTAAGCTAATGGGGGGAGATCCACTCCTATATCGACTGATGGTGAGGACAACTGGAGTGCATCCCACCTGCAGAAGGCACCCTCACGTGATGCACTAACCACAAGGGGAACGTGCACAGGTATCTTATCCCAACTTCTCTTTGGGTCTTATCTTTGCCATCTGCAAATAGTTTGAAGATCCAATATTGATCTCCTTGAATAGCACATTCTCTCTTTTTCCTTTTGTCTATCCAATATCAATTCACTGTTTTGTTTGATCTTGTTTGTCTCGCTTCCAAAGAGGTTTAATATTTCACGATGTCGGACGTGGCAGCTCTAGAGGCCGAGGTCAAGGAATTCAAGTTACAGGTATATCTGTCAAGTGGTTGTGGAACTTCGATCTCTAACTCAGTCGGTGCAGCTTGAAACCGTCCAATCGAGTTTGCAGGTAGATCCAGATAACACGGAACTTCAGAGTCTCAAAACTGAGCTGGAAGAACTTATTAACCTTACCGAAACCTCCATCGCCGAGCTCAAACCTCCCGCCCCGTCCACGTCGAAATCGGTAAAAGAGCAAGGACCCCGGGACAGCTACCCCACGTCTCATACAGGCTATCGAAAGCCAACAGTTGAGCAGACGGAAGAGTCCGCCCCACCGGCATCTTTCTCTATCAATGAGCATGTTCTTGCCCGTTGGACTTCGGGCGACAACTCCTTCTACCCCGCCCGCATTACCTCCATCACCGGTTCCTCCAGCAACCCTGTTTACCTGGTCTCCTTCAAGTCCTACGGCACTGTTGAATCATTAACTGCAAAAGACCTCAGGCCTATCTCTGGCAATGATTCTCGTAAACGCAAGGCTGATGGAAGCTCAGGCAATTCCGCATCCCAATCCCCAGCACCTCAGCTGCCAAACTCGAGCGTGATCTCTGCAGCTGCAGATATCAACCCCGCATTGGCGAATCAGGCGCGGAAAGAGCCAAGCAAGGTAGGCGATGGCCCAGCGCGCCCCGCAAAGGCGCCTCGGAAGGTCAAAGCCAACCGGGAGCTTGAGGAGGGTAAGATGAAGTGGAAGGATTTTGCCAGTAAGGGAAAGTTGGGACGGAAAGAGAGCATGTTCCGAACCGGAGACGGTGTCAGCGCCCGAGGTATGCTTGTCCTGACCTGGTGCCCGATAGACTATGGCTAATCTTTACATCGGCAGTGGGCTTTACGGGGTCTGGTCAAAAGATGCGCAAAGACCCCACCAGGACGCGACACGTGTATCAACAGGCCGAGGACGAAGGCTACTGATGACGTGGTTCTGGAGTTTTTGCAGGGATTTTCCATGATATGATGGGCTTGGTTTTTTCTCCTTATTGTTCATATGCTGTTTTTGCGCAAGCTATCTATTGTTCCCATTACTAACAGGCTGTTGGTGGCAGATAAGTCATCTCATGATTGTCGAGGCAAGGAGTAATCGTACATAGAACGCGGCTTCAAGATATTGGTGATTCTTTACCCCATGAGTCTCTGGCGTCCCTCCTGCACGCGATCATTTCTAATCCGCCATCCTGTTAGGTATTATGATACGTCTATCGGAAATTAGGTTCTGATTGCCCAGCGTACATATTTTCCTCGTAGTATTTAATCCGACGGGGCGACACATATTCTGGAGAATCAATGACTAGGCTCTTGCGTAAATATCACTGTATGAACTATAGTAGAGGACTCAAATGGTTGTTTATAGCGCCATGCCCATATTCCAATTAGGAAGACATCCTATACATTGACAATGGCATATACTCGTACCTTGCATATCTATTGTCTCTGATTCGTCTAGAGCTCATGGATTTATTGTCAAAAACATATTTTTAGTAGGACATCACTGTCTTCAATCAACAGATTCCAGCATTGGACAAATGATAATGCCATTCGGCATAAGTGTACTAGCAATCGTCTTGTGAATTGATACGAAAAGCTGTATTCAAGCATGATACAGTCTTTGCTTTGTGAATTGAAAAGTATTGAATATCAAGTTTGCATCAGAATGAACTAATGGCCGTGAATCGGTCTTTTGGTGTTAATATCCCCAGCGCCATGAAGGAATTATATTCATCCTCCGTACGGCCGAACGCAGGTCACGCTATACAAGAATAACATGTGTCTATGATTCTATGATTCTATCTCTCTAGGCATACATCAAGATGGTCAAAGAATGGCTATTCCAGTATAGCAGCTGTTGTCCCGAAACATCACGGTCTTCTTCCCACCACTCACTCGATATACACTTCCTCCCAAATCCGTCACATACACTTGCTTTTTCCCGTCCAGTTTAATCCCGATAGGCTCGTGGAATTGCCTAGCTAATATTTCCTTTTCACTTTGAAGCTTCCTTTTGTCGGCCTTCCCACGAACTTCCACCCGATTCAACGAACACCCAGTTGGATGTTCGCCACGATCCGTCCAGTATAGTAACTGATTCTCCACATCCAGTTCCAAGTCGATCGGTTCAGGCAATCCTTCCAACAAGAGCTCAATGTCCTGTCGCCTATCCACTGTCTGGCCCGCTGGGATATCAACGCCCGCTCGGAAAATCCGTCCCTGACCACTCTTGCTGGGCCCCTTCTGCGTCCAGTAAATGTAACCTCGATCCATGTCCAAGGTGATACCGACACACCAGCGCGTCATATCTTTCCTTTCCTCGGGCTTATCGAGAGAGCCGGTACGAACCAGAACTTCGTGCTCGGTTCCGTCAAAATTGACTCGATGCACGCCCATGCCCTCACGGTCACAGAAATACACCTTGTTATTGATATCATCAAGGACCAGTTGCTTCGGCGTATGCACCGTACCAGAGGGCAGGAGAGTCCGGACATCCGTTCCGTCAAGGTTTGCCGAGTGCACGGAGCCATCATGTGTGGCAGTCGAGCGACCCATATTCGTCCAGAAGATGCGAGATGCGGTCCGCGAGACGTCAATCCCATCCGGCAAGGACTGCCCTTCAATGATAGTGGTCGTCTTTCCCGTACCCGGATGGTACTTGAGAATCCGTCCGGCAGTTGGAACGAGCGAGATATCAGGATTGTTCGATCCCAGACCGACGTCGAGTAAATACAGAGCCTCTTCGTCCTTGGCAATACCATTTTCCTCAGGCGTGGGAGGATACAATCCACCCTTATCACTCTTGAGTCCCAGTCTCCCAGGCGAAATATATTTCTCGCGCAGCCAGTCGACAGTCGAGCGGCCGTCTATCCCCCTCTCTTGAATATAGTTATCCTCAATGAGCGCCACTGTGTCCAGACCAATCTGATCCATCAGTCGGCACGGAGGCAGACTAGACGGAAGCTGGAACATGTTCTCCCACAGGAGATCGATTTCTTCAGGGGAGCTGACATCTTCTGCAAGAATCAGCATGATCTCCCGTTTGATGGCAGCCCAGAGACGGTTGAAGATGAACCTAGCCCCAATCAGCAAAACATTTCACAGACCCTACGTACGTACTATGCAAAAGAAGAGAGGACAAGAACTTACCCAGTTGACTCCCGTCTCGCCGTCACGGGGACCATCCCACACTCTTTCAACACAACCGTCAACAGCGTGAACAACTTCTCGCTCGTTTCTCCATCCGTCATCAACTCCACCGTCCGGATAGCAGGCGGCATCGTGAAATGCATATTTAGTACCCTTTCCCTTCTCTCGGGCTTTACCTCGTCCAGCATCAGCCTCGATTTAAAAGAACTGCTGTTCGATGCAATGATGCAGTCGGCCGGTGCATTGCGGTCGACTTCTGCAAATGTGCTGATCTTCAAAGGCAGTTTCTCTGGTACGGCTTCCACAACGAGCCAGGCATCTGATACGGCAGCGGGGATTTCGGTGAAGGTCTTGTATGTACCAGCGGTACGTTGCGAAGGGGTGAGAGCTCTGAAGTCTTGGAGGTGGCTATCGATGTAGCTGGATGCGTCCGAGAGGGCCTTGGGGGAGGGATCGCGGATATGCACGTTGTATCCACCTGCGAGGAAGACGGAGGCAATGCGGCGACCCAAGACCCCGGCTCCAAGGACCACGACGGGACGTGACGATGGTTGGTGCATTATGTATATGCTTTGATGTGGATAATATGATCGTACGGAGTATAGATCGATATATGAGGGTATACTGAGTTATATTACCTCATATACAAAGCCCATTCTTTACCATCTCTAGCCCTTATATACTTTACCCACTATGCACAACAGAGCACTCAGATCCCGTATATGGATATATATGCCGTGCATGCCGATATCCGATATCCATTGTTGAGCCGGTACAGGTTCCCCTCGGGAACCCTCGGACTCGGTATGGAGATACTTCGGAACGGTGACGGAGCGGATACTTAACCCTATGGACCAAACTTTGGAGCCATTCTATGCACTTCATATCGGCATGGGCTGCTCATATTTCGGGGAACGGTAAGCGGATGCAGTAAGTGCTTTGAGATTTTATGGTGGCTGTGGGTAAGGAGCGACTTGTGCTAGTGTAGTGCCGTGAGTGGGTGTTTGGTGTATAACTACTGTTGCGGTTTTTGCGTTGGTGATCCAGAGGTGGATTTAGTGCTACTCCATGGAAGTTCGTTTTTCTCTGTTCCCTGGTGTCATGGTATAGTATACCAGATTGCCTAGTTTTGGTAGGATGAAACAATGAATTATCTACATGTAACTGTGTGGTGCTGATGCGAGGATTTCAAGTTCTGATTATGGTACCATACTGTGCATTCCACTAAGATTCATTAAACAATACTTGACATTGTGTATATCCAGTATACAGTACTTGTTGGGTTTAGTTACCCAGCATTGACCGAGTAAGGTGCCGTAGGAATAGATGAACCATAAATCCAACCCAAAATATATTCACTATCTACACTCTAGAACAAAAACACCTGGTCCCCAGCCTTAGCAACAGCGCCGGGCATTGCCCACCCCATCGCCTGCAAGGTCTTCTTCATCGCCGCCAACATCGGTGGCGGCCCACACAACAACACTCTATTGTCCAGCGCAGCAGGCGCCAAATGCTTCGCAATAACATCCCCATTCACAAACCCCCGGTAACCCTGCCACGTCTCCCCGGGATGGCTCAGCACATACTGCACCTGGAACTTCTCGGGATGACACCTCGCGAACTCATCCAGCTCCGTGCGCAACAGAATGTCCTCTTCCGTGTTATTCGCGTATACCAATGACACCTGCGTCTTGTCGGAGTCGTCTTCGCAGATGGCCCGAATGAGCTGGTACATTGGTGTAATGCCTGTTCCACCCGCGATCATCCCGATATGCTTCGCGTATTGTCGGGAATATTGCATTGCGCCCTTGGGCCCGCGGATCTCGATCGACTCACCTACTTTCATCTGCTCCAGGTGCTGGGTCATTGCTCCGTTGGGGTATACCTTGATGAGTAGCTCGATGCGACCCACGTCGCTGTTGTTTGATACGGGTGTGTACGACCTCGAGACGCTTTGTCCATTGATTATCGCTCGTAGGGCGATATGCTGACCCGTCGGCAGGCCGAGAATGTCGTCCGGGTTTGGCAATGCAAAGATGAATCGATATACATGTGGCGCGACTTCCGTTTTGCTGGTCAAGATGAATGATCGCCATTTTCGCGGATCCAAGACACTCGGTTTCTTGAGTGGTAGGTTGGTCCGGGGCAGCTTGATCATACGTGCTGTTTTGGCTGGTCGACGCGGTACGTGGTGGGTGAATTCTTGTTGCACGTCTAGCTTGGTTGAGATCCACGTGCCCAGGCCCAGGGTTAGAGAGAACTGGACTGCGCTGGCGATGCCCACGCCGGCCCAGAAGTGGGATCCGTCGTGGTCCGGGCCCTGACGGAGAGAGAGAGATGCGGTGAGGGAACGCAGAGCGTAGGCTATCTCGGTGGTGGTTATGCCGCGGTGGTAGGCTGTTATGGCGGCTTTGCCTACCAGACCGGTCATGGCGCATTTCATGATTGTTTGGATTATTGATGACCAGGAGGTGGATTTTTTGACGTTGACAGCCGCGGATTGGGAGACCTGCTCGTAGGCTGGACGGTAGATCTCGACGGATTCGGATTGTTCCTGGACTCGTGAGTATAGGGATAAACTATGGATAGAATGCGTATTTACCTCTGTCGGTAAGTCGCCTACATAGAAAGGCTCTAACTGTTCCCGGGCTTCGTCGGAGTGCCCGACTTCCTCGAAAGCCTCTGTGGCGTCGGTGCCAGCGACCTCAATAAGAACGGCGCCCCCACCGGGGTGGTCTTCAAGGTATTTGGTCACATCGTAGACTATGAGCAGTCAATATCATTCAGGCAGCATGATCGGAGAGACACACCCTTGTTGTGGAGGACAATCCAGATATCGTCTGGTTTACAGTGCATTTGGACCTGTTCAAGGGTGAAGAACGGCATTTTGATGATGAAGACAGCTTTACCCTCTGGAAGCGGACATGGACAACTTAGTCATTTATATCTTCGACTGTCTTCTGCGACTCCTGTGCCGTTCTATCCAGACGATGGTCCTCGGGCGACTTTCGTACGAACTTCGGACGAGGACTCCTCTGCAGCCGAAGATCAACATGGGGACGGTTATTCGGATGGGATGGCATCTTCACATTTGAATTCATTCAGGTATATATTAAGGTCACTTCCAGGTGAGTCTTCGATCTAGTCAGTCCGTTCGAGCATTGATGTTCGTCATGCAGTGTCAATTCCATCTCGTGGGCGACGACATCGCCACCGCGCAGTCGATAGAAGTAGACTCGCGCTGGAAGTTTGAAGACCTCCAGCGTGCTGTCGGGGGAGTTTTCCATGTCACTCTGCCAACCGGTAAGCTTTTCACCGACACTTCTTCCTTACCCAAAGTCCTAACATTGCAGGCATCTCCTTCCACACCTCCGAAAACGAAACGTTGTCGTCCGTCGCCGACATTCTCTCTGCTCCACCATCTCCCATCGGCCTCCGAATCGACGGCAATGCCGTACAAACCCCCCAGGGACCTCCAGGGCTGCCTCTGGTTGGCAGCTTCTACGAGATCTTCCCAGACCACCTGGGTAACCACTATCGACTCTTTCGCAAATACGGCCCAGTGATAAAAACCACCAACATGGGCAAAACTACCTACCTCACGGACGATCCACAGGTCGCCTCAGTCTGTTTCGCAGAATCAGCCTACATGACCAAGAAGATCAACGAGAGCCATCCCCTCTGGGGCGTCAAAGACAACACCGCCATCTTCATCGGCGACACCGAGACTGAAAACTGGCGCCTCGCCCACAAATACCTCCCACCAGCCATGGGCCCCAAAGCCGTACGACACTACACAGGCCTAATGCAAAACTGCGCAAGAAAGTCTCTACCCGTGTTCGACGAGTTGGATGCCCGCGACGAGTCCTGGAACGTCTACCAGTATATGGTCAAGCTGGCCTCGCAGACCATCGGGTCTTTCTCCCTCGGCAAAGACTTCGGCCACTTCGACTCAGTCGACAGCCCCCTCCACCCGATCGCCACGAACATCGCCAGCCTTCTCTCGCTCAATAAGAAGATCACCGCCCGCGGTGAATGGTACCGCCACCTCCCCTTTGGCGACCCGGCCCGTCTCCGTCAGGTCCAACACACCATCTACACATTGCTGCAGGAAGCCATTGACGAAGTCGCCGGCTCCGGCATTGCCGACGCTCCCATGAACGAAGCCGCGCTCAGCGCCTCCTGCGTCGTTGACTACCTCCTCCACGCGGTTGACGACAAAGGCGAGCACTTCCCACAGAGCCTCATCCTCGCAAACATGCTCATCGTCACGGGCGCCGGCTTCACCACCACCTCCGCGCTCCTCTCCTGGCTCCTCTACTGTCTGGTCACATACGAAGGCACGCAGGACCGCCTCTACGCCGAGCTTGTAGAGCACGGCATCGTCGGTCCCAATGGCGAACGCAACCAGACAACCTGGACCCCCGATCTCGCGCATAGCCTGCCGTACCTCGACAAGTTCGTCAAGGAGACGCAGCGCCTCCACAACGCCAGCTTCCAGCCGGGAAGAACCACCAAGACTGATGTCGTGCTTCCGGGCGGGTATCGTCTCCCGCCTGATAGCGTTATTGTCCCTGCGTTGTATGCTATCCATACGAATCCGAAGATCTGGCGGGACCCGTTCCGGTTTGATCCTGGCCGGTGGGATACGGAGGAGGTTAAGGGAAGGCATCGGTGCGCTTATGTTCCGTTTGCGACGGGGCCGAGGGGCTGTATCGGGTTTAACTTTGCGTTGTTGGAGGTCAAGATTTTGTTGGCGGAGTTGGTGAGTCGATATGAGTTTGTGAGGGACGGACTGGAGGCGATTGATTATGATCCCGAGTTTCAGTTGATTCGGCCGTTGAACTTTTATGTAAGGGCTAAGCGGAGGGCATAGATGGTAATGTATGACTGTTAGATTTGATAGAGTGTACACTAGATATAGAATAGATGTTTATGATTAGGGCTGGAATGTATGCTGCTGCTCCATTATAGAATAGAGGTTGAGTTAGAGCACAAATCTCTTACGGTAAAGAGTTATAGCTCTCACCTGGCTGTATGTCACACCGCGACCTCTCGATAAGTCTCTCGCAATGCTTTCAGGGCCCGAGAATACGGCCCAAAATACCGAACATTCGTATCAGCATCGCACCACTCAGAATCCTTCTCCTCTTTCTCTAGCACTGCGATTAGGCGCTGCACAAGCACGTCTGGGTTCCGCTGGTCCGCCATGGGTAGTGTCTCTAGCCCCTTGAGTGTAATTGCACAGCTAACCGCGTTATGCACAAACGCCCACGACCGACAAACGCTCGCCGAGAACCGATGAAGATCAAGAAAACTCTCGATCGCTTGCATCGCCTGGTTTACACAGTCCATCGCAGCACCATTGTAAAGGGAAGAATGAGGTTCCACCTCACTCATATATACTCGGCTCAGTCTGCAAATACCATATCCTAAATGGACTCCAAGGGCTAATCGTTCTAGATGAGCTTGGACTGAGGTGCACCGTGACTTGTCCGTGAGAAACGGGGCGGCGTCGTCCCAAACTTCTTCAAACTGTCGTTTATACCTGAGCGCGCTCTGCTGTGGGTCTTCGAGATTTCCAGCTGTCTCTTGTCGTGCTTTGTTAAGGAGGATGTTGCAAATAGTGAAAATGGATTCTTGGAATGAAAGGCCCTCGGTTTGCTGTCTATACGGGATGGGGCAACTCATTGTGATTGTACTTGGGGGACGGTCGTATGTAAATGAGAGGAATGTATCTTGCCAAACGATTGTCCACCTATCCTTTTCTTAGTTGTGCAGCCAGGGGTATATCGAGGGGGCATACCATAATCTGTTGCGCTGGAATTGCTCGGATTCTGGGAGAGACGGGGATGCCTCATGGAGACCAATACTCTGAGCTAATCGAATGGTTGAACCTGCCACAATCAATATATGTAGCTAGATGTCGAGGGCCATATGCATACCCATCAGTATCCATGCACTGTTGGTATCCAGATTATTGCGCAAACAATGCCCAATCAGTGCCATGGCCTGGATCTGATCCAGGTTGGTATGGTTGAAAAAGTTTGACATGCGAAGACATTGGAAGGATGAGCAAACTACGTTGTTAGTTTTATACTAGATTTTCCAAACGAAAGGCAGTATCAACATACTGAGGACCTTTGACCGCAAATCCCGCTCCTTGATCGGATCATCTGAAAACTGCACCCCACAAGCTAGCACAGCGAATAATAGCGCCAACCAAGACGAATCAGGTCCGAAATCTTCAGCTGTAGCTTCTTCAGATGCAGCTCGTTCGTCTAAAAATGCGAACAAAGCAGGGCCGAACTGGTCGATGGTCACCAGCGACGGGTAAAACGGGTAAACAATTGATTGGTAGACCTGCCAGTACCTACGGTAGTTAGTTAGTCTCGGGAAAGCAAATATCGAGAGTGTCTAGCTTCAGAACTAAATACTATCAAGTCAGAGATGCATACCGGATGATATCCGAATCGTCCGGCAACGTCTCACAGACGTTCTTGGCTGTTGCCTCCGCCCCCCAGAGATTAGTGAAAGGATATGCCCGTGGAACAAATTGGTCGATTAGTGCATCATGCAGCATCGCATCTCCGGTTGCCGACGCTCGACGACACCCCAGTGCAAGAGGGGTGTCTGAGTGGATTCCCAGATAGATAGTGGCGCCTGTAGCGTCTTCGACAAAGTAGCGTCCAGGCGATTTACTAGCTGGTTGGGTACGTAATTGGCCAGTATTGCGAGTTTCACTTACGGAGTGAGGACTGTGGGACGTCGCCGTAACAGTCGCGCGTAGGTCCGCCTTGAGCGAGGAGATTTGCTCCTCGATCTTCTCCAGCTTAGAGATGAGAAGGCTGGGGTCAGTTGAAGGCTGGGATTGCGCCTCTTCAATTGTACTATTTCTATCACAAAGTCAATAAGCTGCCGAAGATTGGCGAATAGAACATACAGAGCATCTAGATTTAGCTCACTCGGCCCTTGAACATCCCTCGGTGTAGGTTGTAGTGCTCTCGCCTCGCTGCCGGAAGTAGTCGGCACACGACATAACTCGCTATGGCCGCGCTTGATGCAATTGGAGCATGGTTCTCTTCCATCACAACGGACCTTACGGTGTCTGCAAGGGAAACAGGAGCGGATGCCGCGGGTCTTGCGTTTATTTTTGAGCAGTTCGCGGACGACGGCAGTGTCGTAAGGATAGGCGTTTTCCGCCATGCTGGGTGCACGACGTGATTTTACTTTATGGATGTTATCCCTCTATGATGTGTTGAATCTCTGTATATCCATTAAGCGATAGATGAGCAGCCGATGGAGAATTGAGCCTGCAGAACAGCAGCTGTAAAGTTCCTGAGCGTTGAAGTTCGTTCCAGTGGACGGAAACTTAAGTGAGCACGATGTATCGGTATTACCCGTCTGTGTCTGTATCACGCTAAACCGAGTTAAGATGATACCCATATGAAGTTCTCCCCATCTATCCATTCATTCTAAGGGATTCATCGATGATAAGTCACCCAGTGACAATAATAGGTCATCATCATGTAAATACTCAAGCAAAATTAGATCCTCAAGAGAGATCTTGTAGTAGTATCCCAGGCTCCTCTACCTTCAACCTGCCTGACTGGGTGAATAGACTGGACTAATATATCATTCGAACTAGTATATGATCAACTGGACGCGCCTCTTCCTACCAGTAGAAGTGAAGTTGCTATTTACCTGTCAGAACAGTAACTAAAAAGGCACTTACAAACCCAGCATTAGCATAGTTAATAGTCACTCACTCCGGCACCGCCACTGTGGCACCTCGTATCGCAAGTCATCTCAAAGGCGAGGCTTGAGCTTCCTGTATATTAAGTAACCTGCAAATCTAGCCCTAATTCCACATGTGATACAATCGCATCCCGACAAACAACCCTCAATAGGCCCTCTATCATATGCTGCACCATTGATTTGTTCTGTTCTCGCATATATCAATGGCCAACCCATCCTCTAAACGGAAGTTTCCCCTCTTCTAACCGACATGATCTCCGCGTCGAGTTCAAAACTCCGCAAGCCACCATGAAAATCATTCGTAATGGTCGGCCTCCGCCCATACAGATCCATCCAGACCACATGGGCTCCCATGGCTCCAACATCGAGATCATATCAAAAACAACTGAATTCCGCATGACTTGGCGATGATGGAATCGTTACAGCATGTACTAATTTCCCGTCCCCGTGCCAGCCCTACTTTTACCTCCAATGGTCCCGCCTTAGCATTCATTCAACTCATCAATTGTACAATTTTAGTAAAGAAATCATTTCAACCCAGAAACAAATACTAAAATTCCCTTAGAAAGTAAAAAAAAAAAAAAAAAAATGGCCTCACCCAAAACCAAACCCATCCCCATCCGCCTCCTAACCCACAACATCCGGACCATCCCCTGGTTCACCTTTCCCCCGGAGAAACCATGGAACATCCGCCGAAACCACATCGTCAACCAACTCGACTTCAACACAACCCACAACCCCGAGGCCATCATCTGTCTCCAGGAGGTCATGCACAGTCAGCTCACCGACATCCTGACTGGCCTGAACACCGCCCCCGACAGCGAGAGTGCGGAAGGCGAGGAGATCTGGAAACACGTGGGGAGCGGCCGCGACGGCGGCCAGAAGGGCGAGTACTCGCCCATCATTTACCGGGCTAGGGTCTGGGAGGTGGAATGGTCCACCACGCGCTGGCTGTCGGAGACGCCGGAGACGCCGTCCCGGGGGTGGGATGCGGCGTATAGGCGGATTGTGACGTATGCTGTTTTGCGGCATCGGGACACGGGGAGGAAGGTGCTGGCGATGAATACGCATCTGGATGACCGGGGGAAGGTGGCACGGTTCGAGAGTGCGAAGTTGATTCTGGAGTGGATGGAGGAGGTGCTGAAGAAGAAGGGCTCGGATCCTGTGGATGGCGTGGTCCTGTGTGGGGATTTCAATACGAATTCGAGGGAGAATAACGATGCGTTTGGGGTTCTCACTGCAGGTGCTATGGTCCATACAAGGGATTGTGTGGATGGGGAGAGGCGCTATGGCAATGTGAATTCTTGGACGGGCTTCAATGATACCCCCATTGATGATGCGCTTCTGGACTACGTCCTGGTGGGACCTCTCAAAGGTGGTCATGTCCCGTGGAATATCCGTGCGTATGGCATCCTCACCAATCGGTTTGATGATGGAATTTTCAATTCGGATCACAGGGCGGTTGCTGCGGATGTGGAGTTGGTCGGTTCTCCCAAGCGGCTTTGATGAGGATATGGTCATGATTGATGCATTGATTCACTGGACTTGTTGCTGCGTTACTACTTTTATCTGGGTTACCTAGTGATCGGCACGGATCATCCGTACTTAATAACTTTCACAATTTAGGGCTATTCACTGAACGTCATAGGTCCATTGTAGCAAAGAGGATTGCATAGATAAAATGACTGGTAGGGAGATAAAATGACGGAAAAGGAAGCCTTGTGGTGCAGTCACCCATCAAGATAATACAACAAAAACCTGGGTATGCTTTACTTTTGTAAAGTAAGTAAACAACGAAAGATATCAAACGAAAGAAATAAAAAAAAACCACAGTGCGGATTCGTCATCAGTAAAAAAAAAAAAAAAAAAAAAGTCGTTCAACAGTCATGCAAATCGCAAGGAGTCCCATCCCAGTCAAGCAATCAACCAGACGCCGCGCTCAAGGTAAAATCAATCCATCCCTAACATACGCCCAGTAAAGCAGTCAAACTCGATGTCGAGTCCCATCCTCCCGATACCCTTGAGGACCACCTTTTGACCGACCTTGTGCCCAACCCTCGTGTGATCGTGATTCCGCTGAAACGGCATACATACTCATACAGTACATGGCGCGCACAAAAATAATAGTACAGACGAAAGGATGCAAAGACAATGACCTAATATCAATCATCAAAGATAGAACGAGAAAGAAAACATCAAGGAACGTCAACGGCAAAACTCGGTCCAGACGGTGCTGAGCCAACTGCCCGACAGTCCGCCATCCGATGGCATGACCCCCGGCATTTGATCGTACTCGCATCCCTCCAGGAATGCCAGCACGTCTTCGCCACCCAGGCTAGTAGACCACGTGCTATTTGTGGTGAAGCTGTCCATGCCATCTACCGTCGCTGGAGGGGAGGCTGCCGGGTGCACTGAGCCAGGAGGCGGCAACAGCGGAAGACCATGCGATGGAGCGGCATTGATAGGGGGTAGAGACTGAGAGTATGGTGGTGGTGGCGGTTGCTGGCGGGGACCCAACCATGGGTTCAGGGGCTGAAGACGGCCAGACTGGGATGCAACTGTGCTGTATTGCGCCGACGTTGCGCCTGATGTTGTGGCGGGTGGAGCCCCGTAGGAACCGGCCGGTCCAATGGCCGGAAGCGTAGGAGATGAATTGTTATATAAGGATCCCTCGGGGTGATGCTGCAGCGATGGAAGCGAGAACGGAGATTGGGATTGCAACGACCGACCAGGAGGCAACGGGAGACTAGGGCGTCGCTCGCCATCGGGCCCAGGGAGCGGCATACCAGGACTATTAATGGGCACCCAGGACTCACGGCGTCCACCGGCGCCATCTAGCGAAACCTCCATAGATTCTCCTGGATCACTGCGAACAGCGTTGCTGCCAGCATCGCTGATGTTGGTCACCCGATCACTGACTCCAGCCGCGCCATCCTCATCGCCGCCGTTTTCTGGTAACTGGTCTTCGATAGAACCGAAGTCAAGGAACAACTTTTCGAGCATCTTAAATTCTTCAAGACCGCCACCTACTCCGCCCTCACGGACGGGCCGGATACCACTGGCTTGTATGTCCATAACCTCGGGGATCGTTTCCAGTTTACGGGAGTGCCGGCGGAAATCCTGTTTGACCTTGGAGAAATAACTATGGAGTCGGTTAAGTGTACGGAACCACCCACGCGCCATTTTAAGGCGTGTCCGCATCTCGCGGAGGATATCGAGAGCTTTCCGAGTCTGGCCTTGGCCTGGTTGATTGCCATCACCAGTCGGATTGGATTTTGAACCAAGGATCCCTTCTGGATCCATGTGTGGAAAGTGTGCTGCGTAGATACCAATGAAGGCAGCATTGTAGACAGCGAAGCCCACCAATGGGTTCTCGACGAGCACACCTCGGTCCTGGCAGGTTACGACCAAGTCCATCATCTGTCGGGCGGCACTAAAGAGCTCGCGAGCGCTCTCGCGCCAGAAACCATCGGGTGCGCCCACTTTTTCGCCAGGAAAGAGAGGCTCGTCTAGAGGACCAACGGGCTCTGCACAGCGTACAGGAAGAAATGGGATGTAGGCACGGTGAAGGACGAGGACTGAGAGAAAGTAGACCACATGCATCAGGGTGTAAGGGGAAAGATTGGTCTTGTACATGATATGAGTGTCCGTATTGCGCGTCGAGTATTGAAGGTTGCGGGACAGTCCATCCTGGAATTCACCCAAGATCGACCGAAGTTTAGAGAATTGTGAGTCAGGATGCCATGGGGGCAATTGTTCGGTTCTATGATCGTTAGTTAGCTTTATCTAAATGAGATAGAGGAATTACTAGCACACCTTCTTCCACCAGCACAAGACCACTTTGCAATACTGCCCCAGATGCGAATGATACGGATGACGCGACTCAACACGGCCTCTTCGGCACCAATTTCCCAGCGATCGATCTCATCCTCACTTGAGTCCTTTCTCCGAGAAATGGGGGACCAAGACTTTGGGTCAGGGGTGATGTTACTCGGAAGTTTGTCGTCACCGAAGCCCCCCAGACTCTGACGAATGCTAGGTATCTGGACACCCTGTGCGCCAAAGCTCTGCGGGCGGCGAACAACGGGCTCACTCAGGCGCGAGGTACGCACGCGCTCTCCAAAGGCGAATGCGTTGTCACTAGGAAGCTGAATGCCTAGTTCCTTAACCCGGATCATGCGCGGGCGATACTTGCCACTGCTCAAACACCGATCAAGGATAAAGCATGCCCAAAAGGTGCGTCGCTTGGTTTCTTGCGCAATCACATCGTCGGACGTTTGTTCCTTCAGCTCCATACCGCGTCGGGAAATACCAAAGAGTTCTGTTTCCGTTCTAAACGCGGAGGGTGATCTGGGGCCATCTCGTGAGAAGACATCATTCTCTAGTTCGTAGGGAAGACCCATCGCCTGGGACAGTCGGATGGCCATGCCCACATATAACCACGCACT